ATGTTATCCATTCTACAAACAATACAGTTATGCATTTTAACAATACATTAACGTAGAACTAGTGAAGTGAATTATTTGACAGTACTTTTCCGTAAAATTATTCATCAACCTTCATTGTCCAAACCTTCATTGTCCTTCATTGTCCAAACCTTCATTTCCATTCATCAACCTTCATTGTACAAAATTGTATCCACCAAATATTATCGCCCTGTGTTATTTTTAAACAAAACTAAGTAATGAAGAATCTACAGGTACGCATATGTGCTCCTTGGGTCGTGAATAAACAACTGTCTTTCACACGATGACAGTTCTGAACAGAGAAATTTTCACGTGAATAAAATTTTCTTTTCACGAGAGATGAAATCATTTCCACGAATCTCTGCAAGTACTTCTCTAGACACATATGGGAATTTCACGTATGGGCAAATATTTACGCTTCATTTTTAAAACGCACGACAAACATCGAAGCTCTCCCGCCCAACAATCCCTTTCTCTTCCCCTCCCTCCTAAAAAGAGAAAGCGAGAAAATCTTTTGCAAAATAAAAGTAAACTCAAGTTATTAATAACGTGGGGATTTGAAAAGGCCTCGAAGGTGGATAAAAAAATAACGCCAATTTTGTATCGTGTGCATTTTCTAGAAAAATATAAAATTAAATTTCCAAGATTTAGGCACAGAAAACTTCATTTCCTGCAACAAAAACGAAGAAAAAGAGAATAATATTCAGAATTTTCATTAAAGAGCCAGAAAATGCCGACCTTTGAGCCAAAAACCAATTTGGGAAATGTGGAATACAGCAAAACCTTAATTCAGTTCGATGGTAAAATGTATATATATAACGAAATTTCTAGGTAATAAACGCATGTTTGTTTAACTAACCCCCCCCCCAAAAAAAAATCTAGCATCGTGAATGAAAAGTAAAGAGGACACTGCTAGATAAACAACGACGAAAGATAAAAACGGCTTTCATATTTAAATTTTACACCCAAAGCGCACGAAATGGTAACTCGTAAAATGAAATTTTATACGAGGTTCATGTTTATTTAATATTTATGCATATTCTTTTATTTCCAAACACATATACTAAAAGATGAAATTGAACGCGAGTTTAAAAAAAGCGGTACAGTGTAAGAAGTCTTGATTACATACTTCCTGCTTCACATCAATATTAAATTTAACATGCAACCATCTATGTGCAGTAAAAGCCCTAAACATCTGTCGAAAAGAAACTCCTCTGGAGGAACTGTACAATTAAAAAGTGAAAGACATATGAATCCACTTTCCTGGGTGTTCTCGTCCAATTTTGGAACGGACCAGTAAAAAGAACACCTTCCGTTCCTCATCCTCATTTGAAGAATCAAGAAACACATCTATAGAACTGCCCTCATTTTGAGACTCAGTATAAGCAAACATAAGACTATCCTCATTTAAAGACCTAAGAAAAAGGGGCAACAATTCTATCCTCGGGGTCAACATAAGCAATGGCCACATAGTCGTCGTTTAAAGATTTAGTAGCAGTAACGATTACATTGTCCTCATAACTGGAACAGGATAAGCAGCATAAACAGAGTCACAGTAATCCTATCCACATTTGAATATTCAAGATCAGTAACATTCTCCTCAGAGTTAGTATAAGCAACAACACACAACCGTTTCAAATTATACAGCTGACTGGTGGTAAATAGCCAAAATTTTCGGTTACCTCCCCTCATTTAAAGATTTAAGCAACGACAACACTCATCATTTAACGTCTTAGTAAAAGTAAATATATCATTGCCGTCATTTAAAGACCCAAGATAAGCAGCATCAACAAGGTAAGTAGCAACAATCCAACCCTTCATTTAAGGATATAAGTAAAAACGCTGTTCTCATTTAAGGACTTTGGGTAAGCAATGACAATACACAACCATTTTAGATTATACAGCTATTTGGTGGAAAATAAGTAACCGTTTCAGCAACGCAGTGAGACATTCGAATTTCGAGATGTTAAATCTTTCCAGAAAGACAAATAAGTCAATTGAGTTTATGAATACCCCCTACCATGAGTGCTATCTTCTTCGCGAATCTCTTGAGTACAACAACAACCACAAACAAATGTATTTTTGGTTAATAAAGCTTTTGAACCACTTTCAACAGAGAATGCACTGAAATCTACAGATTCTGTATTTGCATAAGTGGCCCATTCAAAAGCACTTTATTAAAAAAAAAAAAAAATCGCCCAAATATCAGTAACTGAAATTACGCAGATTCAGATTTCAAAACATTATACTACTGTGTGTAATGTATTGAATGCGCAGAACCGATGATAGCATGACAAAATTTATTTTCTCAAAAGAAACAGTTCACACTTCTGGAGCTTTCCACAAAAGTACTCGAACAGCTCTTCTCATTATGACAGAGCACAGTCAGTAGTTACCACTTCAAAGTACTAAAACCGTTTAACACAACGCAATGCAAAACGCACCTAAAGAGTGAAGCTTGCACGGAGATCTCTCAATAGTCAAATCTGAACTGAAAATTAAGAACTGATGTTCTCTCTAATCGTATATAATAGTTTCCCCATTGCTGGAAGACATATACAGTTACATATAGGGCTATACACAGATAATTATACAGGGACCGCATCAAAATATCGCCAAGCTTGAAAACTTTGGGTGATTTATCGCCAAATTTGGCGACAAATTAGTCGGTTTATTATTTTAATTTATTTTTTAAGTTCAGCGACGGTTCGGATATAACTTTAAAAAGACATAACTAATAAAATGATGTAAATGGACTCGAAAAAGACACTGAATAAGATTTTCTCTGGTAAGCAAATTTATGTGGTGATAAAATTACTTGGCATTTAGTCATTTCAGATAATTTAGTAACAGGTGTCCCCCTGGCTATTTTCTTCTTAGATTCCATAAAAGAGTAACCTACCATTTTGAAGCGATGGCTATGCTATTCAAGCTACCATCGGACTAAAGGAGAAAAGTTCAAACTACCATCGGACGAAAGGAGAAAGTGCCGAAACTTTAATCTGCCTAAAGAGTTTTGAAAGTCTGCCTAATTAGTTACGGTATGGTCTACGATTGTTAACTCGAGTCAGATATCAAGTAGTTCTCTATGTCACTTATGGAAACACTTTCCTCTACCTTGCTTCTGATTTAGCATTACGCAACGGGAGAATTTTTGCGATTGAATAAAATGATGAGACTGAAAATCTCTTCAAAACTGGCCTCGAGGAAGAACAACATTTCTAGGTTGATTGGTTTATTAAATGATTAAAGCAAAGCACAAGAGGATCGGCCTAGCAAGGGATAATTTCATGAAGGATTTATTTGTTGGTTTATTAGATTAAGACAAAGCGCCTGAAAGCTATTTGTTTAAGATATGGGGTTCCTTTGTAGAGGAACTTCTGATAGAAGTGGCTCTTATTTACGTTATACATCGGGTAAACCATGAAAACATTCACGCAATTAGACTATTCGCCGTCAGATGAAATGAATCTGAAATCCAATTACAAGTTGTTCAGCGCTTTTTTTACGCTCAACATTTTACGTTTTTCCTGAATCTTTTAATATCAAAGCAAGTACAGAAGGGGCGAATTTTTTCAAGAATTAACATTCGAGAACTTAAAATGAAATTTAAAATTCTCACCAGAAAATTAAGAGTGCAGCAATGAAGGCTAATTGGTGACCATGGTTTACCAGTTTGCTACGGTTTACCGGTTGAACGGATTTAATTATCTACGAACGGATTCGTGATTTAACTTATTTAATCAAATAAACTTGTTTTCCAGATGAAACTTATTAAAACAACCGAAAATTGTAAACAGAATTTTTCTGTTAATTATAATACGAGTTATTTTTCTTTTTTTTTTTAAGTTCTTAATTGCCCTCGGATTAATCGTAATTTTGAGTCAACTGAGGACGCAAATTCAGTACTACATCGGTTAATCGTGAGCTGATTGTACTTATTTTTAGTAAGACACGTACGAATTATTTTTCCTAAATACTTCTTTTTAATTCAGAAGCTTTGTGCATTAACATATTAAAATGAGTACATTTAAACGTTGCCATTCTGTATATGTGCAATAATGCAACAACAAGGAGCACTGAAGGGGATATGTTTGCGAAGAGTTACTTTTCTTTAAAAAAAAAGTCAGCTGTCACCTCTTATGAACCTAAACAATTCACGGATGTCTTTTAATGAAAAACTATTTATGGACACGGCGTAAAATTTGTAAGCACCTCTTATTACTCTTAAGCTATGCTAATGACCCATTCCGTGAAAGAAATATCACCCATTCTATTTAATTTTCCGCTTGGTGAGGCTTAAATGTTCGCTTTCTGCGTGGCATAAAATTTTCAGCGAAGGCCACTATTTCTTTGTTTATTATAAGAGAAGCTAAGAAAAGGAACAGACCAAGAAATGGAAGAAAGAAGTCGGCGAAAATAAAGCGAAAGAACTCATGAAAGCTGCCCGGTGTCGCAGACGTGTGATTTAATGTGAACGTGCCCCCCCCTTCCCCAGCGAATTAATGAGAGGAGGAATAAAGCAGAAAATGATAATTTGGAAAAATAATTGGAATTGTAAAAGGACTTCGTAATGAATATCACTTGAGAAGAAAGTAATTATTTTTCCCTTACTTTCTATCCCTCCTTTAAAAAAAGAGTTTAATTTTCATTTCCAGGGATTTAACAGCCGCTTGTCCTAAACGGAAGAGAAGCTATTTTTACCTCACCTTTTCTTATCAAGCTACACTCTGTAAATATAAATATACTCCATAAAAAAGAAATCCCACTTTTTCATTGAACTTAGTAATAGATTCTAACAAAACTCAGATAATAATAAATCCTACAAGACATAATCAACAATAAATAGCTAATATGAAACACTGGAAGCCGAAAATGAAGACAGAATAGTGAATTCATGAACGGCGTATATTCTATTTAAATTCATATTCAGTGAGAAAACAGAAATGAAAAATTGCATATTAGAGCTGAAAAATACTTACCCTCGATAACGTGATGTTATGGAACTCCCAGCATTCTCTTTCACCTCCCTATAAAAATATAAATAAAAATTATTTTATTCCGTATGCAAGCAAGCGTATGCAATTACAAATAAATATATTAAAATAAACATAAAAAGGCTATTAAACAGAGTTTTAATTGACAAAGATGTGATTTATAATCTTTAATAAAAGCTTCGACCTTTTTTTTTCATTCGAAACTTTCGAATCTTAACTTAAGAAAAAAAAAAAAAACCCGCCTATTAATATTTTTAACTCAAAATTCTGGAAGTATTAGTTTTATTGACTTACAACAAAAGCATCTATTAAAAAAATAAATAGGTCCTGAATGCTACATTCTTTAATTTTTTGGAGAGAATTTTAAATTTCATTTTAAGTGTTCGGATGTTAATTCCTGAAAAAAATCCTTCTCTTCTGAACTTGCTTTGATATTAAGAGATTCGGGGGGAATGCAGGAAAAAAATGTGAACTGTTACACAATTTTTGAAATTACACTGAAGGGGAAAAAACCCTCAAAGTTCAAGATTTATTACCTTCCAAATAAATGGTGGAACATTTTTAAAAACTTTATTCTTAAATATTTCTTATTACACTCGGATTTAATATTTTGCTTTAATTAAAAACTTTATAACTTTTCTTCTTTTTATTTATCTTATATGAAGCATTGGAGGGATTCCATGACCTTTAGGAATTCAGATTCCAGAAAAGTTACGATTCGCCCAACTTCTAATAAAAAATGTACAAAATAAAGCAAACTCAATTTATCCCCTCCCCCCCAATTATGCTGAATGTAATTATCATTGAATTTATATACTGCATTGAACTATTGATATTACATAGAAAATCTCAGAGTTTATATTATCATTTAGCACGGTACCAGGTAATGCCAACACTGAGATTGGTGCTACATATATAAAGAATTACGAAGGGATTCTCACGGGCTACGCATATTAGGAATTACGAAGAATATTCGTATGTTCCGCTTTCGATCTGCTTACCCAGCCAGTTGTGCCTCAGAGGCTTCGTTCAGACCGGTGGTATAGATGTCATAACTGGTTTTAAGCCAAGCTTCGTTGCTATGTAACTAGACCTTGCTAGTCATAAAAACTGATTTAGAGGTTTTGGCATATATTTCGAAGTTTTCAACCTTATGCCGACTTGGCAGACGAATCAGAGCGAACGCGCGAAACCTTTGATATTTTGATACGAACGTGATTATGCAGGGTATCTACTGCGGCAGCAGTACTTCCCTGCAACCTGAGATGTTTCCACAATGGGCATGGTGATGAGGTTTACATGAGTAGATCCCAAGATGGGATATCAGCATTCAAAAGAAAGAATATGACCCAAAAACATGGCGGAAGTGAAGAATCTGCTGAGATCTTGGAGAAGAGCAATACTTCCAAAAGTCGTCATCCACTGAATATCGAACTGACGGTCTGTCGATCTGTAGGTCTACGCTGTATCCGTTCGGTACTCTATTGATGCTCGATGCTTGTGAAAATATGAAGTGACTAAGAAGCAGACCAGGAACTTGGTGCGCGAATCCTATTGAGCGGTAAAAGTTGTAGACACATCCTCCCATGCTCAAATGTAGCTTCTCTAATTGGGTACTGTTTAGAACCTATATCGCAGGTGTGAACGGAGCTCCCGCATTTTATGCCGTATTATTATGCCTATGCGACTGAACGGAGCCTCACGTAACTAATGTTACTGCTAAACGTAAATGACGTCACGTTCGAGCTGCTCATGATAAAAACCGGAAGGTGAGTCTTCGGAGATAACCCTGATTATAAAGAATACAATTCATTTCTAAATATTAAGACTATAATTGTATCTCGTAAGTCAAAACTAAACGGACGAACTATATTACTATCATTATTAATCAAAACAACTTTATTTTTTCTAAAACAAGGCAAAAATTCTTTGGGCATCTTCTGGCAAACAGTTCTTTCGCAATGCAAAGGCTAAATGAATAGCTTTTATATTCTATGAGAAGTAGCACTTGTATGGGGCAGTATTCTTCTTAAACAATATTATTTATTTGAATAAAATATTCAATCAAAATTTGCTGTTTATTTAACCTTCGTCTGTCATTCAAAACTTATTTAACGTAAACGATTCTTTTCAGACAGTTTGCAGAGACCTTTGATTATTTTGAAGCCAGGACGAAATCCGCAACCCACTACCAAATTATTTACAAGTTATCATAAAAAATTCATTATATGTTTATTTGTTAACTGCACAGAATTTGGCAATATCAAATATGAATAATCATAAAATTACTTCTCATCTCGTCTTAAAATAAGAATAAAAGTTGCAGCTCCCAACTCATTAAATTAATTCTTGAATGTTGAATAATATTAAAACTGAACTCAAAATGAATTTCAGTTTTAAAAACTCCAGAACTTGTTTTCGCACTTTTTGGATGGAACGGGAGACATAAAATGGTATAAAAAGAAAAAAAAATAATAATTTAATTTACGATGGACACAGCAACGCAATTTTTGACCACTGAGAAATTTTTTTATAAAAGCACAAAAGTTTTATTCGATTGTATACGAAATTATTACAAATACTTCAATCTTTAGTGCTTCTGCTTTTATTATTTCGTTCATTTTCAACTGCTTTGTTTTGCAGATCCTTGACACTATCCACCAATGAATTTAGATATCCGAGTTCATGAAGAGAAATTTATTTCACAGGTCAACGTTTTTGTTTACAAACAGTGTTATACAATGTTTTTGTGTTCCCACAGCCACAGTTTATGTCAGATTTCTGCTAAACAGATTTCGATTAATTGAGCTTTTAATGCATTAATTTTTTTCTTGTTTACGTATCTTTTTCGCATAAATAAAACATGAAAATAATATTCGATACGAAAGGCATTATAAAACTTAAGTTTTGTAAGCAACAGTTAATACAGAAAAGCATAGCAATAAATTTAATCTCTGAAAACCAAGAGAAAAATAATGCTGCTGCCAGTCGTTGAGATTAATGAGTTATAAGAAATGATCCGAAAAAAAGTGACTATACCCAGAACATGTACTTTTGATCATATCTGTTCTACATAATTATTATTTAATTACTACGAATCTTTTATTCTTTACTTGAGCTCAAGTAATAATTGTATTATAATTAATTGGAAATTTTCGAAAAGAAAAGAAAATGCTACGTAATGCTCATAAAAAATTCTAGTTAAATGAATAATTAAAAGTTGTTTAAAAATATTTGAATAGAAGCTTAAATGAAATGCTAAAGTAATTAGATATTTATATTACGTTGACACGACAACAATTTTTATGTTTTATAAATATTTTAACGATGAGTGATTAATAGATTTAAATGTAAAGGGTAAAATGAACACACTTTTAACGCATACTCTTTTAATAATAATAATAATATAATTAAGAACATTTCCACTGAAAGTCACGAGGAAGTATCATACATCCGTAAAGTAATGCAATTTAATTAAAAAAAATTTAAATTTAGATTACAACACAACACCTTTACACAAAGTTCTTCGTTACAAATTTAATATAAATAAATATAAGAAAAAAATCGAGTACACGATGTCTTACAGATAATTCGCTTATCTTCTACAATAAAAATAATATTTATTGCTGCCAACTCTTAAAATTAAATTTTTGGTTGTGAATAACATTAAAACTCAAACAGAATTCCAGTTTCAAAAACTCTAGCGTTTATTTCTATGTTTCTTTTCAGAACGTCAATAAAGAGAAAATATCAAAACATTAAAACGTGTATTAAGTTGAAACAAATCAACACATACAGACACATGCACTGTAACGTTTCATTTCAGATTTTCTGGGGTCCCACCAATGGCCGAATGTTCACATCCCAGTGCTTTTCCTTCTCTCTATAGCGATTGTTTTCTCTTCTTTATTTTAATTTCTTATTAACGATGATGTGGAGGTAATTGCAATTATTTGCAAAGGTATTCCTTAACCAAACGTCTTGGACCTTGGTCCGAATGTTCACGACAGCTAAATGCTGGTAGCCCGATCCGGATCTGATCCCACGCCAACGGGCAGCAGAGTAGTTGGTCTTGTGTTTCTCCCACGTGTATGGTTTCCTACGTGAATATGAGCTAGTTTCCTTTCGAAATTCAACCACGAAGGCCTTCCTGCCCTTAGGCAGATAGCCCTCCTGTGTTTTGCCATATTCAAATAAATTAAGGTCAGACTTTATGAAGGTGGCAACAAAATTCGTACCACAAGGTTAATTAAGAACATTTCCACTGAAAAGCCACTGCGAGGCTGACAATATCAAACATCGTGTCATTTACATCTTTTTTTTTTTTTCCTTCTTCAATACAGTTAGTAGAAAGCTGTTTAAAAGAGCAGCAAGTATTCAAAGAAAGAGATTGGTTGAAATAATAACATTAGGTAGCGTGACAATCCTCACTTTCGATGAAACATCAGGTTTATATTAGAGAACTTCCTATTCTCATGAGAATATACCCCGAGTGTCCGCCGAAATGCCCGGAAAATGATCAAGAAAAAAAAAAAAAAAAAAAAACAAGTTAAAGACAACGTCTTCCCCCTTGCGACGCCGCGCAAGGTAAATAAATAAATAAATATAGGTAAATTAATAATAAATAAATATTAAAAAGTCAACTTGTCTGATTATTTTCCATCTCGGACGCTCGCTTACGTTATAGCAACGCTAGTGACATTAAAATCGTACGTAAATACTAAGTTTAAAGGACGGAACGTTATTTGTGACAACACATTTTACATACTTCCCATTCACGTCACAATAACATCCCTCCGGCTTTTGCTTTAAACAGAACTCTGAATGGAAAGGTGAAATAGGAACCCCTACGTACCCCACACTAAGAGATTGAAATGGGACCATTTAGAAAAAAAAAAAAAAAAGTCTCATCTCGGAAAGTCCGAAATGGGACATAACACATACACACGAATTAAAAAAAGACACAAAAGAAACACATGATTTGAAATCTATAAAATTTTATCATACGTATACAGGAAATAATTCAGAAATTTTGCAATCGACCTATTATAAAGTGTTAGAAGCCCATTTTATTAATGCCAGTCATGATATAAAAATAATAGTTGCCGCAAAATGTTAAGTTCAAGACAAAATATCTTTCTAAATGATTAACTAACTTTAATAAAACAGTAAATATGAAATGAAAGGTCTTACGCATCACCGTATTTACACCCTATGAAATTTTATCGCAGCGAAAAGTAACAACAATCTTCAAGGTATTAAATAAGAGTCTCAGTGATTTCTCATAACTGATTTTTGAAGAAGATATTAAGTTTAAGAAAATTTACGTAAAAGTTACATTCTATTAAAGAGAAAATTAATTCAAAGAAAATAATAATGCACATTAAAACAATAATATTTCTTGCCTGAACTAGGGCTTGATTTCACTATTATTTGCAATCAGAATGCTTATATTCTCTTATTTAGTAATTTTATGAATATTGTACTGCATTAAGAGCCTATCGCATAAGCATAGAAATAACTCTAAATTCAGAGCTAACACAAACATACTTTAGTAACCTATCTTACCTTATCGAATGGGATTTTGATTTCTGCGTGACACTGTTTGGAAACTCCATGCTCATTTTCAGGATTCTCAAAAATGGCACTGAATATTTTATCGATTTCGGAATCCGTGTTCATATTAGGTTCAGTCGGCGCCATATAAAATACATTTGAGCAACACAGAGGCATTCATGAACGATATCAAACAATGATCAGTGTATTTGAATCTTGATATTTTTATCACATACGAAGATGATCTTTTGAAAGACAAATGCAGCATTAAAGACAGTGCACTTCCTGATAGAAAAGATACATAAAAATTAAAAATGATTACACGCCAAGTGCATGGACGTCAAAAGCGCATGCGTATCATAAAAAATGCGATAGCCAAGTATTTATCATAAATGAGGATGATTTTACTTTGTTTATGTTAGTGAAGCATCCTGTCACCACCACAGGCATGTGAAAGAAAAGTCAAGTCCCCACTTAAAAGTTTTTCATAATTCATTTTTTTAAGCACACAAGAAAAAAGGTTATTATCATAAAAATATGCATATCAAATTAATTTAAATTTTCAATAACAGTAGCATTTTTACACAATTAAATAAAATTTACTCCTTTGAATAAAAACATTATATTAAAAAGAACTTGCTAAATGTTAATTATAAGAAATTGTGTGGTAATGAATTGCAAGTTTGAGTATCCCGAATTTTCTTTCTAAAAAATATATTTTACGTTGTTCTTTGTGACTACGTATGAACCTGAAGTTCTCAGCGTATGTTGCATAGCGCGAATGACTGCATTTAAAATATTGCTGTCCACTTTTACTTATTTGAATGAAATAAAATTTCCGTGAAAGAACACTTGAAATCTGAAACTTTCAGATTATAGTCTAACATCTTAAAGAAGATTATACGATTAAAAATATTACAGAATTTTTAAAAACTTCAAAAAAATTCAATTCACATTTTAAGCCAACAAAATAACTTTATGCTAAACAGTACATTAGGGCTACCAGTTTAAAAATTAATTTCAGGCAATACAAGATACAAGATCATGAATTTAAAATGCGTGTTCAAATAACAGTACTAAACAAAGAACTTTCTAAGGTACTATATTTCATCCTAAACTAACCCTACATAAAGGATCTTGCACTTATTTAATAAAGAAAAACTCTCAGTTATCTAGAATGCAAAGATACACTTTTTTTTTTTTTTTTTTTTTTTTTTAAGTCCAAAGGGACTTCAGTCCCGAAGGACTATTGCTTTCGTTTTGGCACTTTGCGTCGGACTCATAAACGTCGGTTCACTTTTCAAACTGTTGCCACAAAATGTTAGAGTCCTGCATTATATTTGAAGAAATTAAATAATGAAAAATCTGCATAAATGATTGTCTATTTCTCGCATTGTGATAAAACAATGGTACATAGAGCCATCGAATTTTGAATGACGAAATCCTACTGCGAATATGGGCATCTGAAATCCCAAATTTGGAATTTGTTTTATTATAGATTTTATATTTTGTAAAACTTTAACGAATTTTTGATTTACAAACTCAGTGCTTTAAAAGCGAGAAATGGCAACGTTATATAGAAAAAAAAAATACTTTTATCTCCAGCTCGCGAGACTGTGTATATCGGAAATTCTAAAGATATGCTTAATTTAACATTATTTTGCGATATTGCTCTTGAACTGAATTTTATGGTTTAAGTGCAAAGAACATGATATTTAATAAATAAAGGTAACACTCAAAACGTTAAAAAAACGCCCCTTTGGACGTAATTTAAAATCTGAAAAATTTCAGTTTTTTTTTTTTTTTTTTTAAATGGATCATTTGCGCACGTAGCTTGTTCAAAATATTTCCGGCCACAATTTCAATTTTGTCAGAACACGAAATTCTTGCAGTGAAAATAATTACATCCTGTTTCAGTCATTAAAAATGTATAAAGTAATACAAATATTTCGCTTTCCTTCTTAAATAAAAGTAATGTGAACTGTTACCAACTCATGAAACAAAATCTTTACTGTTGAATAAAAATAAAATTAAACTCATAAATAAACAAACAAATAAATAACCCCCTCAAGTCCTACTAGTTGCCTCAACGTTGCGAAGTGGCGGAATAGGCTAAGTATGTCGGGAGTTTCTCCTGGTAGGCCACCCTGGGCATGAAGGCCATTCCTCTTAGCCTAGCTAAAACTATTAGGCGAGGTCAGCCTTCTACCTTTTGCTGCCTCACGTTGACGAACAGAAGCTGTACCACCCTCCATTTTCCACGAACTAAGACTAACCAGTTAGGATTATTAACAAAAACAAAAGCAGAAATAAATAAAATAAAAAATAATAAAAGCTATGGCGCTTTTCCAAATTCTGCTTTCAAAATTTTTTAAATTCGAAATTCCTTTTTTAATGTAAAACAGTATAAAAAGAAAAATAACATCAGGAAGAAAAAAGCTACTGTTCGAAGAAAATTCAATAAAAAAGAAATATACAAAAATGCTCCCGATTCAATAAAGTTATTATTCAAGATGATTAACGAAAGAACTTAAAATGAATTTGAAATGATTTACATCTTTTTCCAACAGTAGCAGTTTTCCAACTTAATAATAAATTTCCAAAGCGTAAAGTAGGAAGTAGTTTAACTAAGCATTGTTTTAATATTCTTCGTAAACATCCATCTAAATGCTTTTGAAATTCAGGAGTTATTATAAAAATGCAGCCACAAGAGGAGGGAAAAATACCGGAATGCTCATTTCGTTTTAAGGCTAAACCTCCAGAATTATTCAAAGGCAATTTATCCCAAATACATAATCCATTCAAACATCTCCATAATAGAGTTTTCCACATCATGTTTTTTAACCATACGTTTCGTCTATTTCTCCCTGATGATGATACAACTTTAATAACAAACGCACTTCTATTCCCGCTGTTTCATTTTTACTTCGAAAACAGCTGCACTTTTAAAATTCTTCAGCCCCCTTACGCTTCCTCTCTCCCCCAGTCAGTAACAGCTGTTCTAGAACAAAATATTCCATTTTTGTTTTCTCCCCCTAAACATCGTATTTTCTTCTGCACGCGATCAACATCACTGGAAGGCGGCCAGGATGCTTTTATAGTCCATTCTGAGCAATTTTACAGCCGGCGAACATTTTCGTCTTTTAGTTGCATCTTCAATAAATGGATGCAGCCATTTTTATTTCATATATTTTTAATATTCGCTCTGCAATAAAATAAAAGGCAAACGCTCAAGGGACTGTATATATTATGGATGTTTTACTGCTCTATCTGCTAAGGAAACCACAAAATTCAAATGCTTAAGAACTTTGAAAATGGCGTTTATTTATTGGTAATATTTTAGGGGCCGTTACTCTGTTTATTTGTCCCAGTGCAGCTTAGGAAATGGAAAAAGAAAGGGCGGATATAGAATCAAATATGAGGAAACTAATTTTATTGGCATCTGTACTTTACATTTCGGAGTGTACTAAAAACTCTGAAATTTTAAAATTCTTTAATAATAACCCACGAATACGTAAAATGTAAAAGCCATAAAATGAACATTTAAAGTTCAAGAAATAAAAATATTTTCTAAAAAACGGTATACGAAAATATTTATAAAGAACGTAAGAAACAACAATTTTAACCCTACAACCGGTCAACAGTTTGGCCACCAAAACACAAAAACACACAGTTAAAAGGAGTAAAATATTTCCTTTAAAGACATACTTTCTTTGACAGACATATTTTCCTTGATAATCATTCCAAAATGCGCTTACCAATTTATACCTAGACTCTGTTTCTCTCCGTAGAGCTTTAAATACGAGACTTAGATATGTATGTGTACTTATTTAATGGTGTAAGGACGTAGTAGTTCTTTTAACCTTTTCTTTGCTTAAGATATTGGATATGCTAATTTATTCTAAATTTAAAAAAAAAAAAAATTTTTTTTTGGTATTTGCGAAGCTCCCTTTTACATAAATATGTCCTAAGTGTATATCAGATTCGTTTAAAAGATGGAAGTAAAAACATGTATCATAGTATTCCAATGTTGGGATAAAAATCATAATTTTCAATTTTTTAAAAAAAGTTTTGCTCAGTCTAATTCCTTTCATTATTTAAATTTCGTAGAAGCTTCCAAAATTTATTTTAGTGCTACCTCGTGAACAACATAGCTTCTGTTCCTGCTGGAGGCGTACGAAAACTTGTTAGCTAGTTCTATTCCTTTGATCAAGCACTCAACTTCCGCCCGTAACACTTCAAGTGTTAATAGTAGCAACAACACTTTGATAAGAGTGAATTGAGTTTCAATGAAACTGCAATCAGCAATAAATACTATGCTTATTTGTGTAATTTTTACATAGGATTTTGTTTAGTTGCTTATTACCTATGCCACACAAAATTAATTGCCTCATAATAATCAAGCATTATTATAGCCATAATGTTGATGCTGAACAAGATTCCAGATATTAAGCAACTAACATTCTTACAAATACTTAATTGAACAACTCTTCTGTTAAATGAAATCTCTTCATTGACGCCATTTTCCTACAGCCATTATGCTGATGTTGAACAAGATTACAGATATTAAGCAACTAACATTCTTACAAATACTTAATTGAACAACTCTTCTGTTAAATGAAATCTCTTCATTGACGCCATTTTCCTACAGCTCTTATGTTGATGTTGAACAAGATTCCAGATATTAAGCAACTAACATTCTTACAAATACTTAATTGAACAACTCTTCTGTTAAATGAAATCTCTTCATTGACGCCATTTTCCTACAGCTCTTATGTTGATGTTGAACAAGATTCCAGATATTAAGCAACTAACATTCTTACAAATACTTAATTGAACAACTCCTCTGTTAAATGAAATCTCTTCATTGACGCCATTTTCCTACAGCCATTATGTTGATGCTGAACAAGATTCCAGATATTAAGCAACTAACATTCTTACAAATACTTAATTGAACAACTCCTCTGTTAAATGAAATCTCTTCATTGACGCCATTTTCCTACAGCCATTATGTTGATGCTGAACAAGATTCCAGATATTAAGCAACTAACATTCTTACAAATACTTAATTGAACAACTCCTCTGTTAAATGAAATCTCTTCATTGACGCCATTTTCCTACAGCCATTATGTTGATGCTGAACAAGATTCCAGATATTAAGCAACTAACATTCTTACAAATACTTAATTGAACAACTCTCTGTTAAATGAAATCTCTTCATTGACGCCATTTTCCTATTTTAGGCCATGAAGAGCTAAT